AATAATCTATTGATCATTCGCCTACCTGCCTATATTCAATACTTCTTGCCTGGAGATTTCTCTGATTAATAAGGTCAGAAAAGCCAGGTCTAAGTGAGGACAATTATTCATTTTTGACCCTTGAACTTTTTTTTCCTTAGCTCTCTCTAGGGCCACAGTGACTTATTCATTAACAAGTATGATTAGTACATAAACACCACTATCAGCTTGTGTCTGTTTATAAAGTTAACTCTCAATTATTGAGGGACCAATTAACTAGTCTGGAGGTTATGTGGGCCTCCTGCAGCCTGCCTTTTGGCCACTTCAGTCCCTGCAGAACATCACTCAAGGAGTGTAGAAATGACCAAGCAAAAACTGTGAAACAAAGATTATTCGATTGTGCTCTGTGTGAACAGTTAGTAAACTGTTGGAAAGTAAAATTAAGCATTTCAGTGCACTTTGGGATTATCTAAGGATGAAACTACACGTGGTGATGGTAAAAGGGGCTTCCTTTTATACAATATAAATTCTTGCAAATGAGCAGTAAAATGAAGGTATTATGAGTACTAGTAAAATTTAAGAGTACTCTTTTTCTGGTATTAAAATTGAGTCAATAGATTGTTACCAAATGTTTACCGTTCTATAAAAGAAAACATTTAGTCATCCACCTCTAGACAGGAGCTCAGAGATGGAAGGCCCTAACTATTCTGTCGACTTAAGAATTTAGCTTAAGTGACTTAAAGTATTTTTCATTCATCTAACAATAATTGTAACTGACCTTGGATATTATTGAAGTAACTATTAATACAAATAGATCTAGGGGGAGGCACAAAGATTGATTTGGCATAACACTTAATTTCCATTTCTTTATACTAGCTTGAGGAATAACCTGTTTTAAGTAATAAGTCAGTGTTCCTAAAATGTGTGCAAACTAAACATATTTATTTGAGGCATAGTTTTTTATTGAGTTGCATCATTATTCAAAGGTGCTTCAGAATCCTTTAAGACCAATATGTGGTGGCTCCTAAAATTTTACCTTTATAAGATTTCAACCACTATCTCCTCATTCTTAATTGCTAAATGGTGATTGTTCTATAAACAAATAGTTAAGAATCCTAATTTTAGTGATTATTGAAAAGAGCATTTTAGCGAATACGTATACCTTAGTGTTGGTTTATAAAGCCAAACTTTTTCAATTTATGGAATCTTGCCACAAATATTAAATTCATATCAATAGATTTATATATAATTGGTGCCCTACTCCAGAAGTTGATGGGGTATTTTATTTTTTGGAATCCTCTAGAACCGTGTTCAGTGAACTTGCTTGTGAATAGCTAGATAGTATTTTAGGCTATGTGAATCAAGAGGCAAAGTTGAGGATATTATATAGGTACTTATATAACAAGAAAGAAAATAAATATCTATAATTTTTATAATACAGGTCTATTAATGAGCACATTTGAATTTGTGGATGGACACTGAAATGAGAATTTCATATAATTTTTATGTTACTAAATATTATTCTTTAAATTTTTTTCAACCATTTAAAACTGTAAAAACCATTCTTAGGTCACTGGCCATACACAAACGGGCAGGCTGAATTTGGCCAAGGGGCTTTAGTTTGCAAGCCCTTACTCTAGAACATGGGTTCCTTAACTTGTAAGTAGTCCACAATCCCACACTAGGGATGAGTGTCATAGGGTCCTTGAACTTCCTGAGATCACAAGCAACGTTTCGTGCATACATGAATTTTTCTGTGGACAGAGTCCGCAGCCTTCATCTGACTCTCAGAGAAATCCCAGGCTCAAAAAAGATTAGGAGACACTATTCTTGAAACACTTCATTAATTTTTAGGAGACATTTTCTGAGTGCCTGAGAGTTCCTAGGCACTCTGCAAGTCACTGGGAACTCATGGGAATTTCTACTGTAGGAGCTAATACTGCTAACAGACACTGAGGGTAAATAATTGTCAGGTGATCTTCTTATTCATAAATTAGCCTGGAGTCTCCACCATTCTTGTTGGTTTTACAGGGCTCCGAAAGATGAAAATTCACGCCTCTGGTTATGGGAGGAAAAGCCTTCTCATATTTTCAAGTATTTAGTAAATAATTTAGGCTCAGATTTGAATCTCTGAAACATATTTTAATGTCTAGACCATTTCAGGCTATGAAGAGAAATCAGATTCAATGTATTAAGAACCCTTTTCTTTAAAGTAAACATTAACCCACAGAGAGGTTCATGTTAGCTCAGCTGACATCAAGGGCTGCGATATGGGTAGAGACAGGATTTAAGTTGCTCATTAAAGCTGAGCTTGTGAGCTTGCAGGCTGCTTGACTTAACCTGTGGCTGTTAGTCAAAGCTAAGCCCTGGAATGTTCAAATCATGAAATAGAGTAGTTACCCTGGGGCGGAGGTGGTGGTGAGAAAACAGAAATGTCCATTTGAAAATAAATAAGCAGCTTAGGACTTCCGGCCTCTGCCCCAGGGTTGAGAATGGAAGAACTTGCTTTTTCTCAATAAACAGAGTTATACTCAAGGAGGAGATGGTTATAAAAGCTAGGATACTAATCTTAAAACCTAAAGATGGCACAGTATAGTTTGTGGTGAAACCTTACAAAAATCTAAATATTTTCAGCAAGACTCTTACATTTTCTATATAGACTAATAACTAACTTACAGCTTTTTTTTCCATACACTTGGAGCATATAACAAACCTAAGAAAGTTACAGTGTATTCTGAACAAATCAGAATTCAACCAGGAAAATTTCCCTGGTGAGTCACCCCAAAAAAAGGAAAGAAAAAAAAATTACGGAAGTTCATAGCTACCATAAACAGAAAGCATTGTTTACATGTACATTAAGTTTAAATATTATTAATCGATCAGTATTTATTACTGATTAATGATTTTTTTTAATCTGGAAAATTCACCCACCTCCAGGTCTTTCTTTCAGTTCAATAATTGATAGATGTAATAATAGTGCTCAGTTTTGTAAAAGGCAAAAGCAAAAACTATCCAGGAGAATGGGATGGTGACTTCAGTGAGAGATTTACTAGGACAGAGAGAAAACAGAAAGTGAAATGCAGAGTACTATTGTGTGGTTCAAAAATGGAGTTTTTACCATCAGACATTCTTGCTGATTTTGAGACAACTATGATTTATTGAATCGAGAAAGTCTGCATTATTGCTGAAGTATGCCTGGGTGGCTGTTTCCAGGAGATTTCCTTTTCATATAAAATAATGTCACATCAACTAATTCCTCAGCTTCACTTCTCACTGAATGAGAAGTATCCCATATCCTTGTAGCCTCTTAAATATAATATCTAATTGGGCTGGGTCAGCCCTTGGCTATTTGTGCCCCAAACCTTATAGCCTGTGACTACTCAGCATCTTTTCTGGCACATGGTGTTGTCCCTTTCCTCTTCGGACTCTTGGCCACCATGCCTTCTGAACTCACCCTAGTGAGTCTTGCCAGTTTATGAGGCTAGATTTTTTTACCCTTACTAATGTACCAATCAGCTAATTTGATAAACTGCTGTAACGTAGAGTGTTAATGTGGGAGCACTTCCTTCCAAGCTGAATGTGGTTTATAACAGGGGCTTCTTGGAATGCTGCGCTGGTGACAACTTCAAGTCTGTGTGGGGCTGTAGCAATGAGTATATATTGCCCCTCTCTTCATAGTCCACAGCCTCCTATTCTACTTATCTTTAGAGCTGTTCCTATTAATGTGATTTAGCAGGTAATGGGCTCAGCTTGACAATGCAACAGATTCATTATGTTTTTAGTGAAAGGAAATCAAAAAAGCAAAAAAGCATACATGTAATACACAGACACCACCAGTTATACAATAACTACCTTATAGAGTCACTATCAGAAATGTAATACATTTAGTCATGATTTATTATTCATTCATTAAATTGTTAACATTTATTTTAAAAATTTATCATTGATTATTATATCTGTTAGTCATTCACTAAATATTGGGTATATAGGGGAGAAATCAAAGAAAGTATAACCACATTGAGAAGAAAAGATGCTCACATGTGGAACAAACTGGAAAATAGCACAGTAAAGGGATACATTATGTAGTTATAGATAATAAAGGCAATATACATCTTAAACTCTTTGAGTCCAGGACTTTTAAAAATGGAAGAACCAGTAATATCCCTTTGCATTTCTCAGGCTTTTCGTTACATGTTATACTGTAGTTTATGTACCATATAATCCTGTTATCTTATCTCTTCCTGCCTGGCAGGGATCCTTGTAGCATTTCCAGGGCCTTGTTTTGAACTGTGAGTATCATCTGGCCCCCTAGATAAAGATAAGTCTAGGCAAGTCAGATTAGTTTGTGAAACAGGACATCTAATCAAAAAAATAATGACATATAGTGACCATACCAATCTTATTATAGGAAGATGGCAAGAAATTGTTAAAGCACTCACTTTTTCTAGTCTATCCCTTTCTTCCTTGACTTTTTGTTCTCTTTATTGTCAGTGGGCCAAGAAGAGAGAAGCAAGGCCAGTGTTTGGTAGTACAGATGGGACCTGTGGTAGGACAGGCAGCCTTTTTGAGCCAAGCAGTACTGATGGGGAAGAGAAGGGAAGAGGGTGGAAGGAATGGGGCATTCAGGAGTATCTGAAGTCTGCCTGCAAAGGCCATGCCTGTGTAAGGAGACAAGATCGTCATATATGTGGTATCATTGGTGACAGGGATTTTAGGTTAGAAAAGGAAATACATGTGGAACAGGCTCTAGCAATGAGATTTAATTTGGCCAATTCACAACTGTTAAAAAACCATGTGGCTTGTTTTAACAACTTATCAATAAATTTGTTAAAGAGATTTGTTGCTTTAAAAGCAACTTCTATGTGGGAATTAGTATGAGACTAAAAATAAATCAGAGCAAACAATGGAAGATGTTGATATGGTTTAGGATTCTGATATTTCTGAAAGAATGCCTCCTTGTGTGATAATAGGAAGAATCCGTTTGCATCTAACACCTTTTCTTTTCTCTTTTAAACATACAGACTTCTTTTCCTATGACACCATCACTTGCAGCTAATCCTGCCATGGCTTTCAACCCTTACTTACCTCATCCTGGGATGGGCCTGGTTCCTGCCGAACTTCTACCAAACACACCTTTTCTGATTGCTGGAAACCCACCTCTCGCATTGCCAGGAGCTCCTGTTCCAAAAGTGATGCGTTCAGATAAACTGGAGGTATTTATAAAGAAATATATAAATATCTGTAAGATAAATATTAACCTTATACATAAAGTAACATTCTCAGAGCGCAGTGTGTTGAATGTTTTCAGTAAGTGTACGCAAGTTTTTTAGCTTATGGAGTGCTTATGAAATATAACCTCAGAAAAATGTTAAACATTTTACTACTGTAATCATACCCTGTTATGAAGTACATTGATTCAGTTATGTAGTAGGTGAAACAATGTTTTAAATATACCCAGCCATAGTATACTTTGGCAGCTTTTTAACCAAATCCAAATTTTATAGAACAAATTTATTAAAAGGATTTGTTCTGTGATTAAAAGGATTTGATCTATGAAGTTTGGATCCAGTCAAGGGGCTGCACTTGGGGATCTGGAGGGCCACATGTGGCCTTGAAGCTGCAGGTTCCCCACCCCTGGGTGCTATGGCACAGGAAGTCTCAGTGGAAATGCTCCTTGTACTCAGACTCCAGCTTTACAGAATGGGATTACTATGTTTGTGAATGAGTCTTTACTTGCTAGAACAATGAAACTGAAAGAAAAGTAGACTGATATAAAAAGGTAGACTGCAATCTGTATGATTGCAGAATGTAAAGTTATAGGAATGCAGAATGTAAATGAATCTCATAGTGTGTAAACCTTTTTCTCCATTTTAAGAATGATGTACTAGATAATAAATAGCCCTTGATGCCTAAGAAAAGAAAATTTAAAATAAATTTCAAATAGCTTTTTGATTTATTGAAATCTTTCAGTTTTCCCTTAATTGTCATTCTTTGAACATTGAAATAAATAATCAGTTGATTTCTTACAAAGTCAGCTCCACTGGCAGCCCCTTAAATGCCTGGTTAATGTATTGTAATAGAATCTGATTGTACATGTAACTCAGTCGTGGTTCACAAGTTGGCTGTGGAAAACCACCAGTGCATTGCTGGGTGATAAAGACTCATCTTGGACCTTTAAAAAATGAATTACGCTTAGGCCGTGTATTAACTGGAGGATTAAAATTGGCTTTTGATAATACTTTTAAGTACTTTTATTTCAATGTAAGGAAAACAGACAATTTTTCTTTAGGGGGAATGGAATTTTTTTTCTAGGAGTAGAAATTCTGTCTGTGTTTACATCTCATACTGAATATGGCTATACATCGTCCTTCATCTTTTTAGATTTTTTCCTAAATAATATATACAAAATATATGCAATTACTCTTACAATCACTGGCAAAAAGAAAAAAGCCAGTCACCTTCCAGTCATCAATGTGTGTGTGTGTATTTTTCTCTTTAAGGTTTGCCGAGAATTTCAGCGTGGAAATTGTACCCGTGGGGAGAACGATTGCCGCTATGCTCACCCTACAGATGTTTCCATGATTGAAGCAAGTGATAATACTGTGACAATCTGCATGGATTACATCAAAGGTCGATGCTCCCGGGAGAAATGCAAGTACTTTCATCCTCCTGCACACTTGCAAGCCAAACTCAAGGCAGCTCATCACCAGATGAACCATTCAGCTGCCCCTGTGATGGTAAGAACAGGCCTGGACTTGTGGCCTCTTTAGGGTAAATGACTCAAATATTCCCCAATTTGTCTAATATCCTGTAACCATAATATTGGATAGTCATGAGTGGACCTTAATATGAATAGTCAAGGTTATAAACTAGAAAAGAGGGAACCTATTTATTCTACTTTATTTGCTACAATTTTCTAAAGATAATTATTTAAAAGCTTTACTAATGGTCTTAACTTACTGTGCTCTTTCTCCCATTTTCAGAGAAAGGCTAAATTATATGATTTAAACGGTAAATTATTTTTGAGTGCTTTTATAGTCTAACTATTCGTAATATCTTAGAAAGGCAGAAAGTTGCCTCTCTGCTCTATGAGCCACTTTCATGGGCACTTTGCTACTAATATCTTTAATTCCTTTCCAAAACAGAGCATTTGAAAGATGGGATAGTAAGTAGTTTATAATTTCCCAAAGGTTAATTTGAGGTTATTTGTCCTTTTTGGAGGAATGGTATTGAGGACAAAGGCAGCAGCCTGTTAAGGCTGGGGGAAAATTTCTACATGGTTAGGAGAAGAGGCCTGGCTTTTGAGTTGCCCTAGCAAGTCAGTTGTGGGAAAAAGTTCTGTTTAATTATACTGAAAGGTAGGAAGTAGGGAAAAATTTGTGTTATACTACAGTATGACAGGTTGAGAACAAAGAACTATGATTACTTAACTATGTCACAACTGTCAATTATTTTGATGTGCTGATTGATATTTATTTCTTTTTCTGCCTGGATATTTCCACATGCAATAGGGTATAACAACCACAATAGGAGATAAAACCTCGAGGAAACCTCATGTTCCCTGGCTGTGGAAAAAACACTTCTATGATCCTGAAGCTGAGGAGATGCACTGTGAGCTAAAATCTCATGTGCATTTATAGTTCAGAGTTCCATGATAGAGACCTTATTTTTTCACAAGAGAGATACATTTATTTTCAAACATCCCTATTAAGAAGGTTAACGTCATATGGAGTTGAAATTTTTTGCTGCAACTCGAAATTCACAATATAAGTTCATCTCTAGCCTATATGAGAGTGACTCTCACATCTCTTCTCTAAGCCAAATATGCTTAATTTCTCCAACCTGTGGATACTGGCTGAAACCAGCTGAAAATGGTCCATAATAGATAAAACCAGTCTTAACTGGCTGAAACCAGTCAAAACTAACTGAAACCAGTAAAAAAGGGTCTAAACTATTCAAAAGACGTCTAAACCACATGAAACCTGTACAGTTGAAAACAACTGAAACCAGTCTGCACGGGTCTAAACTGGCTGTAATGGGTGTAACACAGACCTAACAAGTCTAAACCAGCTGAAACCAGTCTAAACCAGTCTAAAACAGCCTAGACTGGAATAAACCACTCTGAACCAGCTGAAAGCAGAATAAAATTGCTGTACCTGGTCTAAACCAAACCAGACTGGTGTAAACTGGCTGAAGCTGGCCTAAACCAGCCTAACCAGTTGGAACTGATCTAAACCAGACTAAGCAGGCTCAAACCAGTCTGACCCAGCTGAAATCAGTGGAAACCAGCCTCGACCAGATTTAGCTGGCTGAAACTGTTCTGAACCAGCTGAATCTGGTCTAAACCAACTGAAACTGGTCCGAACCATTTGAAACCATTCTAAACCCAACTTATCCAGCTAAAACTGGTCTCAACTGGCTGAAATCAGTCAAAACCAGTCTAGACCAGAATAAGCTGGCTGAAACTGGTCTAAGCTGGCTGGGACCACTCTAAACTGCTTGGAACCAGTATAAACCATCCCAAACCATTCTATACTGCACTGAGCCTGTGAGAACCAGTTTAAGCAGTTGAAACTAGTTTAAAACAGCTGAAACTGGTTTAAAACAGTCTAAAGCAACTGAAACCAGACCAAAGTGGCTGAAATTGGTCTACACCAGTTGAAACTAGTCCAAACCAGCGAGACCCATCCTGAACTGGCTGAAATCAGATATAACTATTCTAGACCAGTCTAAACTGGCTAAAACCAGACCAAACTGGGTGAAACTGGTTTCAACCGGTCTAAACTAGACGAAGCCAGTCTATACCAGCTGTAACCAGATCAGGCTGTCTTAAACTGGTCTAACCAGTTGAAACTGTTCTGAACTGGCTAAATCTGGTTTTAACCCACTGAAACTGGTCTAGACCAGTTTAGTCCGGCGGAAACTGGTCTAAGCTTTGTCTGGTTGAAACCAGTCAAATCTGGTGGAAAATGGTTTAAGCTTTTGTACACCAGCAGAAACCAGTCAAAATTGTCTGAAATAAATAACAGACCTCACAATAGTTTTCTGACAGCACAGTTCCCAGAAGAGAATAGAGATACCTTGAGGCCTTGGTTATCCACAGGAAGGAGATCATGGCGTGACCATTTTTGGCACATGGAAGGCTACTTACCAGAAGTGTTTGTGTCTCCCTAAGAATTTGGAGCATACTGAATTGTTGCTGGGACATGTCTTTTAACTAATGTGCAATTTGCTGAGAAAAAAAAAAAGTAAAGTAATGTTAAACTTCTCCAATGAATCTGATCCAGGGGCAAGTTTAACTAAGTATCATAGAACAGTGGGATTTTGAAAGGATTGTAGACATGAAAGGAAGATTTAAAAATGCTAATAAGTTTTGGAATTAAACCTTACAAGGACTTAACAAACCATATGGTACAAACCAAAATGCACAGTTAGCCACTGTAAATGAAAACAGTATACATTTTGCTAACTACCTGGCTAAGGTAGGCAGTGCGGGAGGAATGATTCATTTGCTTTGTCCTTACATGTTAGTTAAGAAATATACAGTTGTAAGATTTGAACCTAAAGTCTTTGTATTAATTGGATTTTATTTTATGGGGCTACGTGTCAGACTCTGATCTACCAACATCTGTTTTATCACATATCTACCATTTGTGTCCTAGATCCATATTGGAATTTTAAGAGGCAGAAATCTCTTTCCTCCTATATCTGTTGCTTTTGCTAATCTCATCTTTGTAGATTAATAGGTGAGCATTGCTGAGATGTTCACTTTAAATGATTACTTGCTGTAATAGCTTTCTGTTGCATCCTGCCTCAATGAGACCTAAATTAGTGAAGTTGAAAAGCCTTTTTTTTTAATTTTTTTTTTCTGTTGGACTATCTACTCTTCTAGTTTCACTGGTTAATCACAGTTGGTTACCTTGCAGTGGGGCCACTGTTTATTCAAAGTCTTGCTCAATGGATACCCTTACAGAGGATTCCTGGGCCATATCTGCTTGCTTGGTTTGTGTATGTGTTTTACTTTCTCTGCAACTAATGATTAATCCACCCTTCCCCCACAGGCTCTACACCCTGGTGCACTGCAACTGATACCAAAGAGATCGGCACTTGAAAAGACCAATGGTGCCACCCCGGTCTTTAATCCCAGTGTTTTCCACTGCCAACAAGCTCTGGCTAACCTACAGCTCCCACAGCCGGCATTTTTCCCTGCAGGTGAGTACACAGCTCTGGGCACTGTGGTGAGTTTTAATGTTGTGAATGTATATAATCCAAAGCAGCTTCAAAAGAGCTTTTACAAGGAGACTGTTGACATATATTTTGATTAGAAATAAAACTAGTCAGTTATGCTTGACCTGCTGGTATCTAGAACAACCTGTTTTTCTATGATTCCTGAAAACTGATGGTTTGAAATCAAACAAGGAAAAGGTATCACATTGTTCTTTTTAGCATTTCTTATTTTTTGCTTCTTATGATTGAGTCACTTGGTTCGGTCTCAAACTAATTCCTTGACTCTTAGGTATCACTTTCACAGACAGTGGTCTGCTGTCGAAAAAAAAAAAACAATTCCAGCTTCAGTATTATGAAAATCTGTGGTCTACATATTGTTGATATGCCAAAGGTAGTTATAATAAAACTGCTCTTAAAGTTATAGTATAGTATAATACAGTATAGTATATATAAAACACATAGTTTTAGCCTCTAACTCTTAAACCAGGTAATATAAAAAAAGTTTATTATATTTTTCTGACATTTTGCAGCATATTTTATATTACCTCCTACATTCAACCATATTGAATAGCTTAATAGTTTTGTACCAAATTGAATAGAAAAATTTAAGCCAGAATTTTATTCAAATAAATATCATATATGGGGAGAAACAGTTTTCTTCCAGTGGTTTAGTACTTTAAGAATGAGCATATAGTCTCTTAGGAATAAATTGAAAATACACTGGAAGTACACTAGATTTTTTCTTTTTTGCCAGAATCCTAAATGCCCTCATTTGGAAACTATTATTAAATAAAACTAACAAATGTTTTAAAAATTAATTTAGAAAGCCATGTTAATTATATAAACATGCTAAACACATAGTATGTATACTTAGACTTGAAAAAGCCCATTGGTTAATTAGTAAATTAATTAGTTAATTAATTTTGAATGAAGCCATGCAAACACCAGTCTCTATGGCTCACGCCTGTAATCCTAGCACTCTGGGAGGCCAAGGCAGGTGGATCGCTTAAGGTCAGGAGTTCGAGACCAGCCTGAGCAAGAGCGAGACCCCGTCTCTACTAAAAATAGAAATAAATTATCTGGAAACTAAAAATAGATATATAGAAAAAATTAGTCGGGCATGGTGGCGCATGCCTGTAGTCCCAGCTACTCAGGAGGCTGAGACAGGAGGATCGCTTGAGCCCAGGAGTTTGAGGTTGCTGTGAGCTAGGATGACGCCACGGCACTCTAGCCTGGGCAAAAGAGCGAGACTCTGTCTCAAAAAAAAAAAAAAAACAAACAAAAGAAAAACCGGTCTTTAGTTACTAACCACAATAGTTCTTAATGACAATCATTTAAATAACACAGTTTTTATGCATTTATATAATAGTTTCTGAGGGGGAAAATGGAATTCTTTAGCACTTTTTATATCACCTATAATAAGTAATTATTGATATCTAATAATTTAGACTTTTTCCCTAAACCTAAGAAAAAAATAATGTCCACAGACTAAAAGAGAAAACCAGTATGAGGTGAGTTGTGCTGACTTTATTTCTGGCATTTTTTTCTTCAAAAATTGTGGTAAATTTACACAAACATTAGATCATTCCACCTCAGTTGCTTCCAATTTGTCTTGTAGCTATGGCATGAATTTGGTAGCCCAGGAAATCTAGCCAAGGTGGTTGAAGGTAATAAAAGTTATGTTGTTCTTTCTAGGTTTTCTTAATACTACAGTTACTTAGTTTAGAAGTTAGACTTTTCTTTTCCAGATTTGCCTAATATAAAATCTAGATTTATAAGTAAGAATGCCAGAAAAATCCTCTTCCCCTTAATTAATAGCAAAATAAAAAGCTATCCAGCTGAGAGCCCCATCTTGATGGAAAGCTTATTTGTTTGTTCATAGTCAAGTCCTCGGTTATGATGAGGCAGAGGCAGCAGTGTTCACCGATTCATGCTTTCAATAGAAATATGGGCACAGATAACAGATCCTGGAGCATATTTTGAAAAAAAAAGATGTAATAGATTAAAATCCTCCTTTTTATGATAAAAAGTATTTAGGATATATTTGTCCAAAATATGTAATTTAAATGATGTAATTCCTTTAAAGAAAAATTGAAGATCTTTTTTGTACCTAAGAATCCAAGAATTACTTTGATTACCTGGGTTTGTGATCTTCAAGCTAATCTGTAATTGTAAGCATGGGGGATTACTGGATTTGCATGTGCTGATTAATTGATAAAAGAAAATATCTTTCTAGTTAAAATTTATTTCTATCAGTAAAGCTTTAATAATGAAATATCTCTTTTCTTTACTTTCCACGCTTTTCTGCATGGTGTACAGGGCCAATACTGTGCATGGCACCCGCTTCAAGTATTGGTAGGTTTTGTATAAAAATTCTCAACTTTTTCTAATCTGAAAAATGTGTTTTTCTTTTGTCACTATGAAATAGATGAGTCACTGAAAGATGTGGCTGGACATTTTCTGAGTACTTAAGGTTTAATATGGTGCTTTCTTTCTCATGTCTTTGTGGAATCAAAGTAGTCCTACTTTTTCAAGTCCTAGTTGGTTGCCACTGTGGGCAAATACTGACCCTGTCATTTCTCTATCTCTACCCTAAAAATAGCAACTGGAATATTTACAAATGTTTCTTTACCTGGACAGACTGGGCAGTTTTGTTCTTAGCTTTACATTTATTATTTAAAAATTATAAAATACTTCAAATATATAATTTGTAAAGTAAAATGAAACAATGCCTCCCCCCAAAAGTTATCCATATAATATAAACTATTCAATACTCAGATGGTGAGAAAGAATAAGTTACACAAAGCTAGAGCATTCTGCAGTGCTCCATTATGAATTCTGTAGTGTTCTAGCCTGAAGCACCAACTACACAGAAACTAGGCACAACAGAATCATTTCTTTGGGCGTTATGTGATTTTTAACAACCAGTTGCATGCAGATCTTTTAGTTACCTATCAACACAATCACTAATGCTGAAGAGGATGAGAAAGGAAGTGGAAGTTCATAGCTTCCATAGTCCTCGTGGGCTCCAGGAACAAACCAGGAGAAAATAGCTCTGTTCAACACAGGGAGGAATGATCCCACCCCATCCCACCCCACTATCTCATATCAATCCAGTTCTTCCAATCCTTTTTGAGAGTTTGCAACAGCTTGACCTCCATCCCATTAGTGGACCAGAGTAGATGCAGAGCCCAAAAGGCACCACTAACAGGCTTCTTGAGATAAAACAAAAGATCAAAATGACAACCACATAGTAGCAGCATTCATTAACATATCAATATCCGAACCCTGGCAATGGAGGTGAGGCCTCTGTTTTTGAGGGGTTGGCTGTCCCCTGTAGGAACTAATGACAGTTCCATTGATACTAACAGGAGCATTATATGCATATGATTAGAACAGACTTCTGCAAGTTTGAAAAATGTGTCTCTGTCTTCACATTTTGTGATTGTTTTCTCGGGGACGTTCCTTTTTCATTTCACCTTCAGAGCTCTGCTTAGGAATGCAAACTGCATGCTTTAGTGGTGCTGCTTCCTGTACAGTTGCCACAATCCCAAAGGGAAAACAAGAGTGCTTTTAGAATTGCCATGTAAGACAAGAAGGGATGGCTATAGGTAATGAGTAACTAGAGATGAGTGGAAGAGATTACTACAGAGTTGCTGTTAATCACCATTGGAGGTACATTTTCAGTTTCTATGACATTGCATATTATGTCAATTTTTCTCTCTTTGGCCATTCACTTTCTCTGTAGACTTTCAGAAAATCTGAATTCAATCGATGTAGACATGATAAATTATTATATATGCATGCTTGCCATTCACACATTGCTATTTACACATTAATTCCCTGGTTTGCTTTCCAAAATGAGCTAGAAATTAGAAAAGCATCCAAAAAGCTTTCAAAATGAGATAGAAACTAGAAAAGGCAAAGAGAAAACATCCTGAAAGAGATTTTGCAGCTGCTAGCCATTGTAGCTGTAATATTTGCTTTGAAGACAAGATTTACTATGAATTACTCCATGTATTTGTTTGATACATAGCCAAAGTTTCCAAGAGTTTGCCAGAGTTGTACTTAAAAACCTGCATGCATAGTTCACTGTATTCTTCATATCTGCTCCCCTACCACATACTCACAATCACACTACCATTTTTTTGGCATGCAGATCAGGTAAGTATACATATCCCTTTGCACCTGCAAGTCTAGTGACAGCTGTAAGTCAGTGAAGCCAAACACCAATTTATAATTCCTTAATCCTCTTGTGAATGTGCACTCCAGTTACTTGTCTGCTTAACTAGCTTCAGATAGAAAGCCCTAGTAATATCAGATTTTTTTCGTATGTACTCATTAAAATTATAACCCCTTCCAAAAATTTGGCCTTTTGAGTCAACTACAATGTGATTCTGCTCAAAAACTTACTAAATGTTGAGAATGTTCTGTTTTCCTTAATGGTAACTATAATTGGCTTTCCCCTTTCTCTTTTTTAATTTTTCGCCCTTCCATGCTGTGTTGCTTTGCACTGACTGTGATTTGCATGCTGCACCCTGATGTGTCCATCATGATGATGTCACATGGCTTGTTGCTGTGATACCTACCACGCCCCATTCCATCGTATATGTCACGGTTGCATAAATGCTCCACTCTCCTGTGTGTTGCTTCCATGGTTTCCTACTGAAAGTGCCCATGATGCACGGTGCTACACCTACCACTGTGTCTGCAACAGCAACACCTGCCACCAACGTTCCCTTCGCTGCAACAGCTACAGGCAATCAGGTTTGGCCATTTATTTTACCTGTTCAGACCTAGATAACTATAATGTGTTGGTAAGGCACAGTATATGCTTTTTGGATTGGCAAGGCACTTTACTTCATATTCTTATGTGTTTCTTAAGCAAGTATCATATTTAGAAGTTGTTTACTATTTGTTTTTATTTTTCATTTTTTTATTTTTTATTGAGACAGGGTCTTGCTCTGTGGCCTGGGCTAGAGTGCAGTGACATCATCATAGCTCACTGCAACCTCAAACTCCTGGGCTCAAGCGATCCTCCTGCCTCAGCCTCCCCAGCAGGTGGGGCTACAGGCATGTGCTACCACACCTGGCTAATTTTTCTATTTGTAGTAGAGATGGGGTCCAGCTCTTGCTCAGGGTGGTCTCGAACTCCTGGCCTCAAGCGATCCTCCCAAAGTGCTAGGATTACAGACATGAGCCACTGCACCCAGCCTTAGAAGTTTTATTTTTGTGTATATTCTAGAGTGATGAGATAGCAATAGAGCAATAGAACTTTGCTATTCATCCTGAGATTAATCAGCAGAATTTTACTCATTTTTAATCAGTTACTAGATGTTGATATTCTATATCTGATTATTGATATTGCACCAATCCTCAAATATACACTTAATATTTCTTAAATGCTTCTTCATTGGTCAAGAGAAGAATTTATTTTATTTTACTGCCATATTTGGTTATTGTGTTTGAGCTTTAACAGTGCAATCATCACCTTTACCTTCAGATCCATTGGAAAGAAAGCAAGATATCACTTTCATTTCTTTCCAAGGCACAGATATACTTATCATTTCTCAGTGACTACATTAGAAATTCCTTCTCATATGGACACTAGGTGTGCTTGTATTATTTTGATTTTCCAGGCAAGGTCACAAAGCAAATTATAAATTTGGGGTGAGTCTTAAAATTGTAAGCAAATACATATAATAATTATTGTATAGTGTTATGGCCATTTTGCCTTATTGAAGCAGTAACCATGCTTACAGACTGTAAGTTCTACTGCTGTTTAAATTACAAGTATGATAACCATAAAGCATACAGAGCAATTAATTCACTGAAGGAACAAACCCCTTTCTCAGCTTTGCTTTGCAAAATTAACTATTAGTACAAATGGTTAATATGTCTAAAATTTTCTGTGAAATTGATTATGGTTATTGATTACCATCTCCAAGCAGTGAACAAAATAAACAGACTTCTCTCAAGAAACTATTTTAATCTAAAATCTTTTTTACTACTATAGATACCCCAATTATCAGTAGATGAACTGAATAGCAGCATGTTTGTTTCACAGATGTAGAAGTTACCAGTAGAACAGTAAGTTTCTTTAAGTATTAATATAAATAATATTTATAGGCTATATATTTTTATTTACACAATTGCATTTGCTAAAGGCTTCGGTAAGTATTTTCATTTTTCATTAATAGATATTGCTTGTAACTGAGAGCTTGATTTACACATTCTAAATTTTCCAATTTGAAATGTGAGAGCACATACGCAAATTTTTAGTATGGAAATGACAGCTGGTACTGTATTTTCCCAATGAACTTACAAATTCTGAAATGTTTTCCTATTATTAAAGGAGTATGATTTGTTAGCCAAAGGCACAGCTCGCTTTTCAATTCTAATTCTTTAACGTTTTTATAGCTTCATTATTGTATTGAAGTTAAAACAATAATTTTGTCAGGATTTGACTGAGACCATCATCTTAAAGACAATAAGCAATACGCTTTTCCTATGACATGGTAGAAAATAGTGCTTTTACAGTCTGCTGCATTGTGTTGCTTCCCATGTAAATCAGGATTGCTCCAGCTGTTTTAAATTTTGAGTGACATACTTTAGTACCCATTATTTTCATTTGAATCATGTCTTCTTTTTTAAACAAATTTTTGTTGTTGTTGTTGTTGGATTTTTCCCCCTCACCCTTGATCTCCTCTTTGCCTGGTCCAGAGCTCATAGTGACACACATTTCATTTGCTCAGTCGTTCACTTGGAATGTATGACTTTTGAAGCCACTTAAGACTCCTAGGTATCTTAATTAATTCTAGGGACTTATTAAAATAGTGTACCAACACTGAATAAGTATACCTTAGTCATTGAAAGTTTGAAGTTCTCACACCTGGAGTGTATCATTTGGTTTAAGGAGGTAGCAGTTCTGTCCCTTGATGGACTAGTTGTCAAGATCCCAGCTAGCCCTTCTTTCCTGCGGAGGACACACAGGCCCAGAGCACTAACTGTTCTAGACAGAGCTGATAGTTGACTGTACATTAAATAAATAGGTCCCTTCAATCATAAGGAATGTTTTAAAAGACACCTTTGAGTACATGGGAAAGCTGAAGAGGCTATAAATTGAAGTAATTTTCAGGGGTGTCATTTGGGATAGTGGCAACTTGGGAATAGCACCAAACATGAGAATGTAGGTTTTACCAACACTTGCCTAGTTCTAATGGGCTGCTTCACATCAAGGTAAACAAAAGTCTTCAAATATAATTAACTTTCCAACAGAACATTTTTGGTAAGAGTGATTCATTTTTGCTTGGTTCCATTAGAAAATGTGTATTTGGCAGAACATAATCACTTCAATATGTAACAGGTGTTGAAAATTTCTCCAAAGTTCAAAAATGTAATTTTGTGCATTACTATATACCTAGATTTTACACTTAGGGCTATTTTTGCATGGCTGTAAAACATTCAGATAAAAAGTTTAAAGTTTATTTAATATTTGCATATTTTAAAATGTTTGGTATCAAACACATTTTCTCAACACATGCCAGTTGGAGGAGGTGGACAAATGGGTGGATGTTCAGCAAAAAGTTTTCGCATTGAATAGATGATGCCGTCAACAATGGAGTGCGTCTCTGTTAACTTAGGGCAGTTTTCTACGTTAGCACTCAATGGGAACTATAGACTATCATAGCTATACGGTTCTTTAGCAATCATTTCCAATAGCCCCATTTTCACAAATGTACAATCTGAAACTCAGAGTGGGGGATGTCTCGGCATAGTTCACCCACAGAACTGGAACAAGAACCACAGTCTCCTGGGTCCTAGTTAAATAACCCTTCAATATTTCTCACTCTTTCTTTTGTTTTCCATTTCAGTTGAAGTTCTGAACAGCAGAATTATGGAGTATCGGAATCTCTCCGTGAGAACCTCTGTATGGCCTTTCTACATATATTCTCGTATGTCCTCTTCTACCAACACAACAATCAGTGTGGTGCAGTCAATATATTAAGCAAAGCAAAGATACTAGCCAAAAAATTCAGATAAAAAAATAAAGCATTAAAAATCAATGGAGATGTTAAAACAAAATACAAATAGAAAACTAATAACTACCATTCGTCTTATTTGGATTATCAAGTAGAACATGACTATAAAATTGTGTAACTTGTTACATTACTCTTTGTGATTTTCCAGTAACCATGCTAAGTGAATTTCCACAGTGAACTGTTGGCTTACTATACATTCTTGGTGGTTAAATGTTTATCTGTTTTTGAAGTGTTACCTTACTATTTTGTTTACATAATAGTCTATTGGGTTGATTTAGAATGTAACACATATATTCAGTACCATTTTTCCTGTCATCGTATTGTGTTGTGTTGTGTTGTGTTAGGTTTTCATACACTGTAGTGTTTTGCTGTATATGTATGGTGTTTGATTTCAACTAAAACATTATTAGTGGGGAACAAAAGTATATGTGCTTGAGAAACATGACAGTTTCATGTTAATATGCTCTCTCTCTCTCTTTAGAATATTTCTGTAGGTTTCTTGGGGCAGACACTTAAAAGGCCTCACTTTTGAGTATGCACAAAACCTGTTCCGTTCATAAACATGCATGTGTATAATTTGTACCTGCAGATCTAATGTTGCATAATACAATCAAATTACTAGATTTTTTTGCGAGAGAGAAATAATTGCCTGCACAAAGGAAGGAACTTCTTAAAACATTAACCCATAAATAGCTTGAAAAACAAGAACTAACTTTTAATTGAATTTCTTGACATTTAATAAAATTATGTAAAGTGCCCATTACATTTTTTTGTGGCTCAAGAATCCTATCTCCTAGGTTGAGTGTCTAAAACTGAGCCATTTGTCATCTTCAGCTGAGAAACTGGTATTCGGGGCTTAAAGGTATACTAATTACAGGTTATAAATTAAACAGAGAGATGGGGGTGCAGAGATAGTTCATACGTACTGGAGAAAAGTGTGCAAAACCATTGCAGTGTAACCTTTTACACAAGTGCCATTTTCCAAATGCAAATGGCTCATGCTCTCTAGACTATTTTTGAATAATAAATAAGATGCAATCTAGCAAAAGTCAGTCAGGGTTAAAGAGAATTGGTTCCAAATGAGGCCTTTCCTCCCCAAATGGACAGTCTTCTCTGTTAATCACAGAGGGAGCCTGAATACAGGTTTGGAGAAATGGGAGGGACAGGGGACAGGAAGAGGTTTAATATTATTCTTTGATTTATTCAAAAGAACTAGGAAAGATAACTGCAGTTGTCTTTAGCTTCAGTTCAACTGAGTTTCCAGTTTTTGTTAAACACTTCAGAGGAGGAACAAGCGCTCATGATATACAGCAAGTGTTTCCTGCCCAAACTTTAACATCAGAGTCTCTCATGTCATAACCAAGCCTCTCTTTTTGTTTGGATTCGTTTGCCTTTATATGTGTTTGAAAATTATAATAGAAAGGGGTTTTAGCACCCTTTGGATGAAACAGAGTGGCTATACGCCACGGAGCTGAGCTGAATTCACATTACTAATACTTAGGAAATAATTTTACAACCAAGTAAAATAGTAATTAATTGACCTCCTCCACCCTAGTCAGTTATTAACATTACTATTATACAGTGGTGGAAACATATATTTTACATCAACTTAGATAGATTTAATATTTTCTAGTAAATACACCTTCCCCTACTGAAAAGTATAAAACCATCAGATTCGATATATATATAAAAGGGTTGTTTCTCTCCTTCATGAAAATGACAAGCAAAGAGAAAATCTTACTTAGGATACCTTAAGCTGGCTAGTAGTGTTTGAATCACAGAACAATGGAGTTGGCAAAACCTTTTCTCACTTGATGAAACTGAAGCCTAGGGTATGTGACTTGCCCAAGGCCACCTAGCCATTGTGGGACCCAGAAATATCTATTAACTTCCATTGTTCTTCCTTTTCACATTGTTTGTGATTAAGAACATTTGAGACTCTATCCCAAAGCAGGTTTGGCTCAGAATATAAGAGAGCAAATTTAGTTCTCTGGTAGTTGATATACTATAGATCTTAATTATCAATCTAAATCCTGATCAACAGTGATATCTAAACAGTCTTGCTTATATTGGGTCACTGTCATTTGTTAATAGTGTTCCCTAGAGTTAGAGATCAAGAATTGTCGTTTTACCTGTGGACTCTTTGAACCACTTAATTTCTGTTTCCCAAAATCTTAACATTGCCATAGAAGAAAGTAGAGTATGCCTTTTTGAAATTCCTTGTGTATGGAACTAAGTTTTGTATAATTTGTGCCAGAGCCTCTCCAGAAGGGTAGATCTGATTACTTAAATCCAGGAAGGATGCACTTGAGCTACTCTGGATGTATTCATTAAAGGAGAGTAGACAGGAATGTTTTTTGTGCAAAATGAACTTTTGTGTAGTTTGGCATTTTGATGCAATGTACTATCTCATGTAACTTTTTCAACTTTTGGCAAAGATGTACTTAGAAAATAAACCTAGAGTACAGCTGTTTTCATGTTGCTTTAAGCACTGGAAGACATTAATAATGACTTATTTTTTAGGAAGTGGTTCAGTGAGGGATATTCAGGGTAGTTGTATTTTTGGTGCCACAGTTTTCTATATTGTTGGCATTTTAAAAGTTGCTTTGTGAGTGAATTTAAAGAAAGAAAGTTCAAAGCCCTAAAGTTTTGATCAAATTCAACAGTTTTGAGAAAAATGCAAGTTTAAGATAGCACTCATTTACATAGTTGTGCAATGACTTATTGAAATTCTCTTTATTCGAGAAAAGAAAAGAAGATAAGTCATTAGACTATAAATTTCCAGTTAAAAAAGACAAGTCACAAAACTAATCAGTGACTCTAAACAAAAATTTACTGGATGAACTGTATATATAAAATTCTAACCACTTGTGATTCTTAGTTAACATTTTATAAGCTTTGTATTTCACAAGGGCCTCTATTTTTATTTATCCAAAATTATTGCTTTTGTCCATTTCTCTCAGCCTTTTGCAAAAATATACAAGAGTGCTGAAACTTGGATAAAACACATGATGTATACAGAGAAAATAATCTAAAAGTTATCTCTTAAGAGGATTTTAGTAGTGTCAATTTTTTAACAAAAGAACTATGTGGCCATAACATAATTATATTTTAAAGAGGGATTAACATTAAATTAAAATAAATGGATTCATAAAATTGCTATTTAAATACAGTATTTACTTTTGCAATTTGAGCATGATTCCACAACCAGCTGTTGCATTTCATTTCACTTTTCAAGATTAGAGTCTTTAATTTGTAGTTAATTGTGATGTGGAAAGCCATCTTCTCCCTACTCCATCAATCTTCTCCATCCGTTTTTGAACAAGCTAAAGCACTTTGATCTTGCCAGAAGTGTTGTCCTACAACCACTAGGCTGTGTTCACTAATGGAAGGCCCAGCTCACCTGCTCTCTAATTTGGGAAATAGCAAAGCAAGTACCTCCTCCCTGCCATAAGCAGGAACCAAATGAAATTAATCTTTACAACTTGAATTCATTTTAAATGGCATAGTGGTATCTGGATAAGGACCAACATTTACATTCCATTTTATTAAATAAGAGAGAAGGCTCATGTGCTACTTGAGATGTTATTTGGTTCTTTTTCCCCCTCTTTGGAGAGTGTAGATGAGGATGTTCTTAGGTAAAATACAGTGACAAGTTTTCTGAGTTCTTTTAGCCTATAGGGAAGGCTGTGACACACAGAATGATTAGAAACTGGAGTCCTCATTCTTTTTCTCTCTCATACATTTCACACACGTTAAAATAGAAATAGATAAAATTTATGAGGGAAATCTAATTTCCCAATTCTGATGAATAGATTCAGTAAGATAGTGGCCTAATTGTACCAGTGCCTGTCAAGGCAATATAATAAACAACATGTAAAGAGAGTATAACAACTTTTTTGCAAATTTAGTTGGTAGCCTAATTAAACTGTAAATATAACTACAAATATAGGTTCTGAGCACCAACTCACTAATCGGTGCACGTTTTCATTTTTCTTATTGTTAGCTTTTAAGATTTTTATTTTATTACTTTTTTATATCTCTAAGTAACTAATGGATTTAATTTTGAAGGAGAGTTAAAGTTTTTACTACATGTATTCAGCACGCCTAGATAGGTTCTAAACTAACACTGAAGCATGACAAGATAAAGATTATAGCCCAAAACTATTCTTTACAGTTCACAGTTTAAGAACAAATTTAAGTTTATATACAAATAATAATTGTTAACTAATGATATTTAGTCGTTGCTTTAGCAACAAAACTACAACATGGCTACCTTTAGTCTTTTTTAATGTGAAAATTTTACTTGTAAACTATACTTTGTTTGTGACAGTATGATCATATAGAAGATACAGCTCAAAACTCAGAAAACATATATGGTTGAATTTTTTTTAATATGAAAGTCCCATATGTGAAAGCTGAATTTGTATCTTTTGTGACTCTTTGGTCTAAAAGTTTACGACACATGGATTCCAGAATCAGGCTTTATTTGTTTATAGAATTTGTCATTGTGGATAGGGTTATTCCACAGTATTTAGACTTCAAAACACAGTCATTGCATTTATATTACCTGATCTTTTTTCATAACTTTATTCAAAATTACCCTATTCAAGTGGCTTAGCTGTAGCTGCAAAAATTCTGTTTCTGGAATTACATACATAAATATTATCTACATGAGGATTAAAGCATGGCTAAAGCATAGTTTGAAATTAATTCATATTTGTAAAACCATGTGTAAAAGTACTGTGGAATGACCCCTTAACAGTGTTTAAGAGACATATGCTGCAGTTAACTGATCGCCTCAGTTAGGGTGCGAATGTGTGAGACACACCTTTTTTGCACTTATGTACATAGTCCGTGAGAGCAATCTTGGAGCTTTTTTTTTTTAAATGTAAGAAGTCTGTGATGATAGTGGAAAAGTTAGTAAGAAAGAGTTATTTCTAAGACTTTGAGAAGGAGGGTGTTTTTGCTATAAGGCTTACCTAAAGCATGATGTTGCTTTGCTGTTGTGGAGGCTTTCTAGT